GAAATCATCTTTTCAGCTCTGTTATCCAGTCAATTCTTTCATTTGCTTTATCTACTCTCCGTTCAAGTGCAAGTTTCAGAGTGTCTTCCATTATCCATTTTCGTCTTCTCTTCCTTTCCTGTCTTTTTAATGACCTTTTGCTTTCTTCATGGATGATGTTCTTGATGGCAACTCACAATTCCTCTGATTTTTGGTCACTGGTGTTCAATGCATTAAATCTATTCTTCAGACCCAACCCACTGCTGTTGAGTTGGATCTGATTCATAGTGACCCCTCCTTTGGTTTATGAGGCAGTACCACTACAAAAGTAGATTGTCCAATCTTCCTTCTGAGGAGTGGCTGGTGGGTTTTAACTGCCAGTCCTCTGGTTAGCAGTCAAATGCCTTATGCACGACACCACCAGAGCTCCTATTTATTCTTTAGATGGTCTCTAAAATCAGGAGGGATGTAAACAAGGTCATATTTTGGCTCTCATGGACTTGTTTTAATTGTCTTCAGCTTGAACTTGACCTTGCATATGAGCAGTTGATGGTCTATTCCACAATCAGTTCCTGCCCCTGTTTTGGCTAAAGATATTGAGCTTCTCCACTGCCTCTTTCCACAGATGTAGCTGATGTGATTCTTGTGTTACTTCATCTGCTGAAGTCCATGAGTATAGCCACCTCTTGTTACTGAAAAAAGGTATTTGGAACGAATAAATCATTGGTCTTGCAAAATTCTATCATGCGCTCCCCAGCATTATTTCTATCTCGAAGGCCCTATTTTCCAACTACTGGTGATTCTTCTTCATTTCCAACTTTTGCATTCTAATCACCCATGATAATCAACACATCTTGATTGCATGTTTGGTCAATTTCAGACTACATAAGTTGGTAAAAATCTTCAATTTCCTAGTCTTTGGCTTTGGTGGCTGGTGCATAAATTTGAATAGTAGTAGCATTAACTGCTCTTCCTTGGAGGCATATGGCTATTATACTATCACTGACAGCATTGTACTTCAGGATAGATTTGAAATATTCTTTGTGACGATGAATCCTATGCCATTCTTCTTCAATTTGTCATTCCCAGCATAGTAGACCATGTTGTTGTCTGATTCAAAATGGCCCAAAACAGTCCATTTTAGCTCACTAATACTTACAATGTCGATCTTTATGCATTTCATTTCATTTTTGATAACTTCCAATTTTCCTAGATTCATACTTCATACATTTCACATTCCAATTATTAATGAATGTTTGGCAGCTGTTTCTTCCCATTTTGAGTGGTGCAACATCAGCAAATAGAAGTCCCGAAAGCATTACTCCATCACATCATTAAAGACAGCTCTACTCTGAGAAGGCAGCTCCTCCCATCATATTTTGAGTGCCTTCCAACCTGAGGGCTCATCTTCTGGCACTATATCAGACAATGTTTCAGGGCTATTCATAACGTTTTCCAGTAATATATCAGACAGTGTTTCATTGCTATTCATAAGGTTTTCACTGGACAATTCTTTGAGAAGCGGACAGCCTCTTCCAAGTCTGTCTTAGTCTGGAAGCTCCACTGAAACCTGTCTACCATGGGTGACCCTGATGGTATTTGAAATATGGTGGCATAGCCTCCGGCCTCACAGCAACATGCAAGCCACTACAGTATGACAAAGTGACTAACAAGTGGTGGATGTGAACTATAGACTTTAATTGATAACATATCAGCATTGGCTTATCAACTGTAACAAATATACCACACTAATGGGGAAACCGTGTGTGAAGGATGTGAGTACATATAGGGTAGGGAGGGCAATGGATATGGAAACCCTTCTACACTTCTGTGCAACTCTTCTGTAAACCTAAAATTGTTCTAAAAGATAAAGCAAAATAATGTGCTTTCTGCTAAGTGGCCATATTTAATTCTTTAATCAATTATCCATTAAAAAAAAAAAAAAACCTCACTGCCGTCGAGTCGAACTCAACTCATAGTGACCCCTCCTTGGGTTCCCGAGGTGGTATCACTACGGAAGTAGACTGCCTAACCTTCCTTCTGAGGAGTAGCTGGTGGGTTTGAACTGCCAGACTTCTGGTTAGCATCAAATAAATGCCTTTGGCACATGCTACCAGAGCTCCTAGTTATTCATATATCCAATGTTTTATTAAATCACATTTTTTATTACTTTCAAATTTTTTTTTTTAAAGCAGAGGGGAACCCTCTCAACAAAATCTTGTGCATATACACATATACATATATACATATATATATATATACACACACACATATGTTTTATATACACAAAGCTACTCTGGGGGGGAAATGGTGAGGTAGTGCAAGGCATAGCTCACTAGGTACCAGTTAAGAAGAGTTTAGTGAACTATATTCCATTTAATAAATTTCAAGTACCTAAAAAAATATCCAGGTTGGGCAATCCTACTTCCGTAGTGATACTGCCTCGGAAACCCAAGGAGGGGTCGCTATGAGTCGGGGCCGACTCGACGGCAAATAACAACAACAACAACAAAAAAAATATCCAGAGGGAAATCATTAAGCTGGGCTCCAATTAACTCTGTTTTTGTTAAATCTAAACATGACTCAAAAGCTAGGTGTTTATAATAGTAATAACTGTTTCAAGTAAGAAACAATAGTTTATGGTAAAATCAGCAGCTGAAAGTATGATAAAAACAGGATATTTTCCCACAAAACACTTATTACTTATACAGGGAAAAATTAGTAAATTTACACTGGAGCAACCTGGCAGACACCACCTTAACCATGTGATAAAGTTATCATCACTAATAATAAGACAAATCAGTATTATGTACCTCCTGATACACTGATCTAGGCATAATTATCACTTCTATGGTATTCTTACCAAAACTGTACAACTTGAATTTAATAATTAGGGAATATCAAACAAACCCAAATTGAGGGACATTATTCAGAAGTACTGGATAGTATTCCAAACCTATCAAGGTTATAAAAGAGGAATAGAACAAAACTGAGGAACAGTTCCATATTAAAAGAATCAAAGGAGACATTAAAGGAATCTTAGGAGCCCTGGTGGCATAGTAGTTAAAGCATTCAGCTGCTAACCAAAAGGTTGGCAGTCCAACCCACCAAGTGTTCCATGGGAGAAAGATGAGGCGGTCTGTTTCCATAAAGATTTATAGCCTTGGAAGCCCTATGGGGCAATACTACTCTGTCTTATATGGCCTCTATGAGTCAGAATTAACTTGATTTTGTAGGTTTAGATTTTCTGGTTTGTTTTGTTCTCAACTTTTTATTGTGATCTGTTTGAAATTTTACAAAGCAGATGTATTTTCTACTCAGCAGCTCATACATTTTTTGCTTTGTGATAATAGTTACAATCCACATGATGTTAACAGCTCTCTTCCCACTTCCTCCCTGTTATGACCCTTTTCCTGTGTCCGTCTTGCCTATGCTTTCCTGCCTCCCTTGATTTCTCCCTTCACAAATGCTGCACTTCTCATCTCCCATGTTGATTACTCTAAGGAGTGCATCTCCCTGGTATAGTTGTTCCACTCTTAGACCTGTCTATTGTTTGGCTGAGAGTTAAGTCACAGGAGTGACTCTAATTCTAGGCCCAAAGGATGACTAGGGACCATAGCCTCAGAGGTTTCACCAGATTCTATCTGACCAATAATCCTGGTCTTTTTTATATTTTTTAATTCCACAATCTCCAGTTTTGATCCCTTCCCGACTGGTTGGCATTGGAGGCTGGGTATCATCCAGGTCTTGTGGTCTCAAGTAGGATTAAGTTTTAAGGAGCCATGACAACTAAATAAAATAAGTGAACCTAGACCAGACAAAGAACATTAGTGGGAAAATGGTAAAATGTGAGAAGGGTCTACATATTAAGTAACAGTATTGTATCAATGTTAATTCCTAATTTTTATAACTGTATTGGATTCCAAATCATATTGTAGTTATGAAAGATGTTAACATTTAGAAAAGCTGTGTGAAGGCTGTAAAGGAATTCTTTGAACTATTTTTGATTTTTTTTTTATTATTTCAAAAGTGAAGATTAAAACAAACAAACAAAAAAGTATTTTTAGCTATTATAGCTGATATTGTTTTCCTGATGGGGAGTGGGGTGCACAAGTAAGTATATGTGTGCATGATATGCACAAAATTTTCTTGTATATAGGCAGTCCCCAGGTTTTGAACATCTGACTTATGGACTCCTAACTTGCCCTTTAAGCAGGGCTTCGGATCGATTTGAACTGGTTCTGTCATGGTCAAGGAAGCAAAGCAAGAACAGACCAAAATTTTTACAATTTGGATACTTCAAATCGAAACAGGAAAAATTATGGGTCAAAGCCCTGCAATGGGTGACTTGGAAGGGGCATAGTGAGCCCTTTCAGGAGGCTGATGAATGAGTCTAGATTATGAAAGACTGTAGAATGCTGCATACATTCAAATAATATGGTCAGCCACCAGCTTTGAGTGGGCACTGCCATCTTTGAAGGGTATCACCATCTTTGAGCAGGGCACCACTCTTTCAACTCTGCTCATAGATGGGAAGCCCTTCTTTAATGTTATGTAAATTTGCCCTGACTTTGAAACAATTAAACCAGACCCTACTCATAACAAATTCTTCATCATAATCACCTTTACTTGCTGTACATGCAGCTTTTAAATCATTTGAAAAGGTTTGAGTCTTTTCTTGCACTAAAGCAAGGCTAGGAGCCCTGGTAGCATAGTGCCTAAGGCACTTGACTGCCAACCGGAAGGCTGGCAGTTCAAACCCACCAGCCACTCCTCGAAAGGAAGATTGGGCAATCTACTTCTGTAGTGATACTGCCTTGGAAACCCAAGGACGGGTAGTGATGGGTCGGGTCTGACTCGAAGGCACATAACAACAACAACAAAGCAAGGCTAACTGAGAACTGTATGCAAATGCTCTACTTGACCTATAAATTTTTAAAGACACAGTTTGGAACAGATCTCGCTTGTAACTTGGGGACTGCCTGTATTCTACCAGACAGAATTTGAAGTCAAGTACTTACCTATTCTATCTCTTCCAGCAGATTTTTCAGATCCTGACAGGTTGACCAGCACAATACCTCCAAAGCTAAGAGAATAACAGTCATTTCTGATGAGCAAAATAATAAATTCCTTAACAGAATATTCATAAAAAGTATTTACACATGATCAAGACTATTCTCAATTTTAGGTAAAACTGTCAAAGAATTTAATGATTCAATTAACAATAGCTATGCAGTATGTTTCGGGCACCAAACATACTAAAGTGCCTATTCCAAGTGCTATTAAAAGAAAACAAACCCGTTACCATAGAGCAGATTCGGACTTATGACGACCCTATTATGCTATACTTGTAGTAAATCATTTAATCCTCACAAAATGCACAATATTACCTTATAAGGAAGGTGTAATTATTGTCATTACCATTGCAGTGTAGTAAATTACATGGTATGGCTTTTCTAGACATAGTCTTTGTAACTCCCCCTTTGCTTTGAGTAGCTGATTGTTAAAGTTAGCAACCTAGTTTATTTCTGCTGGAGTGGCACAAAGTAATCTGGGAAGTTCACTCTCTCTCAGGTGTATAGAATTCTGATGTTGGGATTGTTTAGTTTGGTCACTTTGCCAGGCTCAAAAGAAGCCCTCCTAGAGGCAGAAGGAATCTCTCACTGCAGGCTGAGATGTACTGCTGAGACAGACACACTTGCTAAGAGAGAGTGACATGAGAGACACGTGCTGCTGAGAGACATGCTACTGAGAGAGCTGAGAGATTGCTGGCTGCTGAGTAAGACGGCCAGATGCGAGAGACTGAGTACATTCCTGAACTTGAACTGTAGCCTGTTGCTTCTCTAATAAACCCCATAATCTGTGAGTTCTGTGTGGCCACTGCAGCAAATTACTGAACTCAATGGAGAGGTGGTAGGTGCCATGGGAGGACTGGCTAGTGTCAAGGTTAGTAAGAGAGCTGGTGGGTGGTGGCATCTCTAGCCACATAGGAGCAGGCATTGTGCTGCTGATGGTGATTCTGTCCTACTCTCGTATAGTTAGAGGAGGTCAGAAGATGCCTTTGCCCCTTTGTCAACCATTTCATATGCAAGAAAACTAATGCACAAAGTGATGGAGTGACCTGACCAAGACTGCACAGCTGGTATCTGAATCCAGGCAGCCTGGCTCAAGTCCAGTGCTCTTATCCCTATGCTACCTCCTGCCTCTCAACTGGGAAGGAATTAGCCAATTTGTCATCACCATTCCAGTCTTTCTTTTGTACATATATACATATTAAACCCATATACACCTAGAATGTCACCATTCTTACTTAAGGGTAAAACCCAAATTAACAGTAAAACTATCTTTAGATATTTAAATCATTCCATTAATACCATTATTTCAATGGGTAAAAATGAGATGGAGTTAAGGGTGCAGAGAAATGAGAGGTCATTCATTCATTTAATTATTTATTGAGCTCCTAATCTGGGTTATAGCATTGAACAAGACAGATGTATGTCCTGTCCTCATGAAACTTATACTATCTTTGTTTCTATGCATCTTGTAAGTTGTATATATCTTTTCAAGCAGATGAAATATTGCTAATTAAAAAACAAAAAAGTCTAAGGTTCTCACCAACTGATCAGAAAGACCAGTGTGGCAATGGGAGAGGAATATGAAAAATAATTTCTTCCCATATGGAATTATACTATCACATTCAATCCTTACACTAAATATTCATATCCTTTAATTATATAATCACAATTTTTGTAAAGAGCCATTGTTCAAATTCAGATTCAGCTATTATTTTATTTAGCCCCTACAACATACTAGAAACTTTGTGCATATTATCACATAACAGTGTTATATTACACTTATAACAATTCTAAAAGGTTTTAATCTCATTTAATTCATATAATAATAATAGCAGTAAACAATAATAAAACCAAAAAACCAAACCAACTGCTATTGAGTCGATTTGACTCATAGCAACCCTATAGGACAGAGTAGAACTATCTCAGTAGGTTTCCAAAGGCTATAAATCTTCACAGAAGCAGATTGTCTCATCTTTCTCCAGCACAGCAGCTGGTGGATTCAAACTTTTGGTTAGCAGGCAAACCACTACATTACCAGAGCTCCTTACGTAATCAAAAACCAAAACCAAACTCACTGCCCTCGAGTCGGTACTGATTCGGCCATCCTTCCTTGGGTTTCCGAGCACTATCTCTACCGAAGTAGACTGCCCGGTCTTCCTTCCAAGTAGTGGCTGGTGGGCTTGAACCACCAGCCTCCTGGTTAGCAGTCAAATGCCTTAGGCATTACGCCACCAGAGCTTCCCCCTTAAGTAATACTGAGCACTTATTGCTCCAAGCACTTCAGAAGTCTTAAATTTTTAATCCTTTCCTATGAGATAATCCTAACAACCCTATGAGATAAATTCTATTATTATTCCCAATTTACAGAAAAGGAAACTAAGACAAAGAGAGGTAAGAAACCTGTCCAAGCAGTCCCATATGGGCCACCTAGAGGTAACCCACAGGGGCTAAGAAGACCAAAGCTGGGGCCAAACTAGTGCTTACACTGCTGAAAGGAAGGTCACTGGAAGAGGGACAACCCAGAATGCCCCAAAGCAGGACACCCCAGCAAGGAACCACAAGGACCTCATTGGCAAGCTCTCCCCTAGGAGCAGAGTAACTGCTTCGATTGACAAGGCCCAGAGGACTGCCCAGCTCCAAACTCAGCCATCAAATTAACTTCAGCAAAGCCTCAGGTTACCATCCATGTGGCAGATATAACAACCACTTTCCTTTCCTTTTTTAAAAAAAAAAAAAAAATTTTATTGTGATGTGGGTGCAAATTTACAAAGCAAATTCGTTTTACTCACAACAGTTCATGCACATTTGGTTTCATTGCCCCAGTACAATCCTCAACCAACAAAAGCTCTCCTTCTATCTCCTCCCTGTGACTATCCCTTCCCTGTGCCCTTATTTATGCATTCCCGTCTATCCAGCTTTCCCCCTATGCAAATGCTACCCTTCTGATGTCTCATGGTTGACTGATCTAGGGGGTACATCTCCCTAGTGCAGGTGGGTGCATCTCCCTGGGTAGGTGTTCTGCCTGCTTAGGGTAGCCACAGACATGGGAACTGCCTATTCTGTCCTGAACCAACCTCATGGCCAACTCTTTGACACTTACTGAATAGTTATTGGGGTTGACAGGAAGCATAAGATATGAAAATTACTTTCCCCCTTAATTGTGAAATAGGGCCTAACATTTTAAGATGTCCCTGAATGTCCTCTCCCCTTGCTAGGAAGAGATTTACTTACTAAGTTGAGTGCTTTGTAAGCTTTGAGAAAAGAATTTAGATGGATATAGAAAGTCATAAAAGGTTAAAGTAACTCATGGGAAGTCAGGGAAAAATATAGCAAAAAGTTAAGAAGAGGTTAAAATTTCTATGGTTATGCCAGAATATGAAAGATGATGAAGGATCAAAGTTCCTTCTACTAAGTGAGAAAGAGATCTCCAAGTTTAAGAACCCATCTCCCAAAGATATACTAGAACAAGCATCTCCAAAGGTGTGGAACCGTCCACCCCTGGGAAAGTTAAGAATACACGGCCTGTGTTTATGAAGTTCAAACCAGGGGTACCAAGTTTTCCCTAAGAAAATCCAGATATCTGAAGGTCAGGTGCAGCACCTGGGATTCACCCTGACTTGAGGAAGTCAAGTGTTAGTGCCCTACTGGGTAACAGGTCATTACTAACCTCCCTGTCCCTATCACCAGAAAATAGCTTAGAGACTTCTTAGGAATGGCTGGGTTTTGCAGAGAATGGATCCCTAATTTGGGGCTTATAGCAAAGCCAGTGTATAAGGCAAAGCAATAGGGTACAGTGGCTCAAGCGTGGCCAGGATACTTCCAAGTGGCGACAGCCACTGACCTACTAGTAAAAGAAGCCTCAATGCTCATACTAGGACAACCTACCAAAGTCCTTACACCTCATCAAGTCTAAACCCTTTTAAAGGTGAAAACCAAAAACCAAAGTCACTGCCTTCGAGTCAAACCTGACTCACAGCAACCCCTCCTCAGGTTTCCGAGGCAGTATCTCTATGGAAGTAGATTGTCCAGTCTTCCTTCCAAGGAGTAGCTGGTGGGTTTGAACTGCCAGCCTTCTGATTAGCAGTCAAGTGCCTTAGGCACTACACCACCAGAGCTCCCTTTAGAGGTGAAAGGCAGACACTTACTGGCAAAAGAAAGGAACCCTGAACAGGCTGAGTGCTTAAAGACAGCTCATACACAGATGAAAATAATTTGTGGAATCAAATTAAAGAATACTTGCCTTCTCTCACCTGGTTTTTACCTCTCTTAGGACCTGCTGTAGTTATTTTGCTTTTATATCTAGTTAATCCTTGCCTATTTAAGCTTTTAGTTAAATTGATAGCCTCTAGGTTACAGAGCAGGAGCTCTGGTAGTGTAGTGCCTAAAGCACTTGACTGCTAACCAGAAGGCTGGTCAAACCCACCAGCCACTCCTCGGAAGGAACATTGGACAATCTACTTCCGTAGTGATACTGCCTCGGAAACCCAAGGAGGGGTCATTATGAGTCGGGTCCGACTCGATGGCACATAACAACAGGTTACAGAGTTCTCAGAGCTCTGGTGACATACCCAAGTAGGAGCATACCAGCCTGTATAAACCATTAGAACAGAGAGTGAGAGATGTTTACTCTGAAGGCAGGTCAATGACCCTATATAAGCATGAAGAAGCTGCAGAAGAAGAAACCTCCACCCATGTTCTCCATAAAGAATTAAGAGCATGAAATCTCTCAGGGGGGAGTGAGACAGGTAGGGTTAGCTGAATCAAGTAGCCTCTGACTCAGTATTTTTGCTGTTGGTGACAGAGAATCACTGGTGATTAACAAACCAGGCCCTTAGGCAAAATAAGTTACATTTCAAAAATCCCACAAGCTTGACCATTGTAAAATGCTGAAAAACCTCCGGAATTGCTCTTCAAGTACCTCACCAAGTGCAGAGCATGCAGTAAAAGTCAATCTGACTGACAAAGTGACCTCCTGCCAGAGGCAGTAAAGAACAGGAGTTCCTTGCTGGAATTCGAACCAGGGTCTGGGACATTATGCATGCACAACTTTCCAGATTCAGCCTTCACAACAGTTCCATCTTTGTTCCAACAGCTTCTGCAGTGGAATTCATCTTGGCTATTTCCTGTGGGCACACCTGATTTTCATAACCCCACCTTTTTCTCAGAAATCCCCTCCCATTTTATGAATAAAGACAATGCCTTTTTCCCACCTAAAACCCTTTATAAACCCTCAGAAATCCTTTGTTCTGTGAGAGATTGAAGGCTAGCATAGGTGAAAGCTCTTCTCTGTGTCTGTTTCTTGAGTCTCCCCCTCACCCGTTTCTCTTTAATAACATTGGTTAGTATGGGGAAAGATAAATGAAACTTGCCCAAGATATCAAAACTAGTAATGATGGAGGCAGGTAGTGATTCTAGGTAGTCTGCCTCAAGCCCATACTTTTAAACACTCTATGCTATTTTGTCTTTCAATTGATGAAATGAGATTTCTTGGCTTATCAGTCAAGATTGTTGATCGTTGCTTCAAGATTGCTGGTATATTAAATTCTTTTTCTAATCTCAGAAATGGAATCTCAACGTATAAGTTCAGTTCAAAACAAATTATTTAAACATTGTTTAGTATCCTTGTTGTTATGTGCCATCAAGTTGGACCCGACTCATAGTGACCCCTCCTTGGGTTTCCGAGGCAGTATCACTACAGAAGTAGATTGCCCATCTTCCTTCCAGGGAGTGGCTGGTGGGTTTGAACTGCCAGCCTTCTGGTTCGCAGTCAAGTGCCTTCAGCTTGAGAACATATATTTCTGCAAAAATATTTTCTAAATAGTAATTTTTCTAGACTATAAGTCAAGTAAATTTATCCTCAAAGGGATAGACAGTAAATATTTTAAACTTGTGGGCCATATAGTCTTTGTCACAATGTAACTGTGTCATTGTAGCACTTAGACAATATGTAAACTAATGAGAAAGTTGTTGCTGTTGTTATGGGCCATCGAGTTGGACCTGACTCATAACGACCCCTCCTTGGGTTTCCAAGGCGGTATTACTACAGAAGTAGATTGGCCAACCTTCCTTCCGAGGAGTGGCTGGTGGGTTTGAACCTCCAGCCTTCTGGTTAGCAGTCAAGTGCCTTAGGCACTATGCTACCAGAGCTTGTATTCAAATAAAAGTTTAATCAAAACAGGTACCTGGTCCACCAGAGTTTGGTGGTACCTGTTCTAGACCTTTAAAGAGAAGGAATAGTGTCAATATATTTGCAAGTTCAACATTTTAGAACCATTTCTTTCTTTATTACCGCAAAGAAAAATTAGAAATTAGCAAAAATTTTGAATGAAGATGAATAAAACTTCATTCATTTCCCCAAAACAAATATATTGTATTTCTCTAACGTAAAAACATGCTTGGTCAGAACATTAGGCAGCCATGCAAAGAATAAACTTCTTGTGGCCTTAAAGTCTAAATGGTAAATTATTTGGGTCAACCAGTCTGCACACTGAAATTACTATGGTCAACTTAGCCTTATAACTAAAAGAGAACAACCACACAATAAGAACTAACATTTATACGATTGCCAATCTCTGTAACAGTCATTTCACATTTTACATGCATTACTTTCAAGCTTTAAAACAAGCCTGCAGAACAGATATATAGCTACCTACTTTTTCAAGTAGGAAAGCCTCTCAGACAATCTAAAGGAACTGCCCAAAGAGAAAGCAGAGCTCTGATTCAAACCCAGCTGTGATAGCTACAAAACACTACTCTCTCCATTAAATTATTCTGATATGCATATTCTCCGATTTCTGCTTTTCTCTCGCAAAAACCACCACTTTATAAAACCAACACATCTTTTTTGAGTACTGTCTGTGGCAAAGCCCTATGTTAGACCTTTGGTGACATCAGCAAGGCCTTGGCCTTCAAGGCATTTCCAATCCAGTAAGAGAGACAAGATAAACACACACAATGGTAAATAAAAACAAAAGATTGAAATATAATTGTCTATAATGCTGATGTTATGTAGTGGTAAAAAAAAAATGCTAACTGAATTATACAGAAAATAACAAAAAAAAATAAAAACTACTAGATGCTGAGTTAATCAGATAAAACTGATGAGCTTTCAAGGAAAAGTAGAGAATGTGATTTTAGAAAACAAAATACAAACAAAAAGTGGGAATTTATCATAGGAAAAGGAAACAGAAACTTGGAAGGTTATAAGAATTAAGTTGGCATTTGAAATATCGCATGTCAGTGCAATACTTAAGTCTGCCATCATGTAAACAGGAACCAAATCTGCCTCAGGGTCCTTCCTGTTACCCTACCAAGGAAGGTTTGGAAAACAAGTTAACAACAAGAGGCAGAGCTGAGTACTGAGTATCATGATGTGCCTTTAAAACTCTTTATCCACATCTTTCTCAGTCTATATGGTATAAGTTATCCTGTATCACTGCCGGCAAATTTTTAAACACTATATTTTTACGTACCAAAAACTAGCTATTATGCTATATTCTTACCTTAAAATTACAGCTAATAGTTTAGAAAGGGTAAATCTATCTCCACTGTTACTTGGAAACATGGCAGCAAGGATTAAAGTAAACAGTCCTATGGGAAAAAAAGGATGAAAAAGGTATATTAGCTTAAATACTATCAAAACTATTTACTTCCAACTTTTGTTTAAATAAGTAGATATATCTAACTGTTAAACTACGTCTTGTCATTTTTAAATAACTAAGAATATAACTATAGCTACTGAGGCTGAAATTTTGAAAGATTATGAAAACAACTTTAAAACTAAGCTATGCTTATTTCAACAATCCAGATCAAGTATAATTCTACTTATTTTAAACTTAGAGATAAATCTAGCATTCAGAGTGGCATTCTGACCTCATCAAAATCAAGCCTGTGTGCTAAAGTTATTTTTATAGTTTCTAAAATACTCCTTTTATCTTCTAGATTTGGAAGGTGATTCAACTTTAAAAATAAAACACCTTTCATAGGGCAAATTATAGTTCTGAAATAAGCAATTACTTTTAGCCACAGGGCCTAGAAAAACATCTTCAGAAAGGGTATGTGAAGAGAAAGATGAATGCAATACAAGAATCACCCTATGAAATTTTAATACATTGTGGTATAAGAAATACTATAAAGCATTTGCAGGAATATAAATAACACAGACCACAGGCATGAAACCAAAAACATTATAAAGCACGGATAATACACTGATGTACATTAGAACTAATATAATTTATAACAAGATAGAAAAATGTATTCACATGTATAAGTGTGTATCAGAAGCAGGCCTCAGTTTATAATAGAGGTTTTAAAGAAAAATTCTTACCAGAAGTTGAAGACAAAATATTAACTATAGCAACTTGTGTGTCTGAAAGTGCTTCCTGATACGACAAATTCGCCAAAAACCACTAAAGAAATAGAAAACAAAGTAAAACTTAATGAATGACGTATTTGTTATTATAATTTATAGTCCCTCTTTTTCTCTACCTCTGTATACTGTTATCCTAAGACATTTTAAAAGCTGTTTTGTATTGAAAAATTACCAATTCCCAAAAAGAACAAACTAATTTATAAAAAGGCTTTGCTATTCAATTTCCCTCAAAAAAAAATTAACAATAATAGTTGATTAAAAATTAGCATTTAGACTTTTTTTTTTAAATTGTGGGTAAACTTTGCTTTATCCAATCACAGCTAGTACTCTATCAAGTTTACCTAAATGAAATTTAAATATCAAAAATGCTTAAGCATTGAAATATGTCTTATATAATATACAGATGACTACAACATGATAAGAAATCTATTAAATGAGATGATTTATATGAGGATGGACAAATAGCTAAATTCATAGACGAAAGACAATGCATTCACTTTGGAAATTCAGAAATGTTCTTTAAAAACTTTAAATTTACTAATTGTGATTCTTTCTTTAATACTCAGTTTGAAGATATAAACCAAAATACTGACACAAACTATATTCCAGGAAGACTGGCAAATATAGTAGCTCCTTTTGACCTGTACTATCCAAGATATTAGTCACTAGCCACTTGTTAGGAGATCTGGTGGCATAGTGCCTAAGGCATTTGACTGCTAACCAGAAAGATGAACAATTGAAATATGGCTAACTCAAACTGAAATTTGTAAATGTAAAATATATACTAGATTTCAAAGATTTTAGCACCCAGGAAACAAAAAATGTGCAAACTCTCACATTAGTAATTTTTATACTGATAACACTGGCATATTAATAAATTTTACATATGGTGAGTGGATTAATAAAATACATTATTAAAATTAACTTAATCTCTTTCTTTGTATTTTTTTTTTTAACAGCTACTAAAAACCTTAAAAATATGTGCATGGCTTATGTTTGAGGTTCATGTTGTATTTCTATTGAACAGCACTTCTCTAGACCTTACTTAAAATTTTATTATTAAGTTAGGTTTATAAAACCTTTACACCTGGACTACATTACTCTGACTTCCCACAAAAAATGCCTTTACTAAAGACTATAGTGCCTAAGACACTTGACTGCTAACCAGAAGGCTGGCAGATCAAATCCACCAGCCACTCCCTGGAAGGAAAATGGGGCAATCTACTTCCATAGTGATACTGCCTCGGAAACCCGAGGGGTCACCATGAGTCGGATCTGACTCGACGGTATATAACAACAACAACAACAACAACAAAGACTAACCTAGATTTCCACTCTCAGAACTTATTTACCATTGATTTTTTTTTTTTTAAAGAGCTATTATCTGCACATATTTGTAAACCTGACATACAGAATAATGCCCTTTTACATAAGAAACTATGTCATAAATTTCTCTGAGTTCTGAGTTAGGAAAACATTTTGCTTTATCCAATGAAGTGAGATACTTCCTTTCAATAGACAATAAGCTGCATACATCCTTTTTGCTTGCCTGCCAATGTACCTAGACATGAGGTGTGTTCACCTGAGTAGCTTTCTTCCCTTCAACTGAAATTCCTGATACAGTCATTCCCTTCCACAGCCAGCTCCCTCCCTAACCCATTAACCCTTTCAATTTGGCTCTTTTCACCTATATTTTTAACTTTTAATTGTATAGATGATTTTATTATGAGCCATCTTAAGTCTCCTTTGAAAATTAGGCAACATATAATAAATATTTCTTTTTAGTCCTGACACTGATTTAAAATCATCAGCCTTTATTTTTATTACATATAAAATAATCATATTAAAACTCCCAAAGATTAGACTTGCACACAATATATTAACCAGTCATTACAAAAACAGAGAATATTCAGGCAAGGGATAGAGAAAAATGGGCTATACAATGAGCATGAGAAGCAAAGGTTAGTTGAAAACCTTTATAATGAGAATAACAATAATGATACTGCATTGTCCAGTGTTTTAACATGCTCAGAATAAATTTTAATTTTAAAGGCTCAATATTAAGCAATAATGGATTAGGTTAAGGAGCCTTGATGGCACAGTGGTTAAAAGCACTCAGCAGCTAGAAGAAAGGTCAGCAGTTCAAACCCACCAGCTACTCCACGGGAGAAATATGTGGCAGTCTAAGCTCTGGTAGCATAATGGCTAAAGCACTTGACTGCTAACCAGAAGGCTGGCGGTTCAAACCCACCAACCACTCCTCGGAAGGAAGGTTGGGCAATCCTACTTCCGTAGTGATACTGCCTCAGAAACCCAAGGAGGGGTCGCTATGAGTCGGGGCCGACTCGACGGCACATAACAACAACAACAACACTTCTATAAAGATTACAGCCTTAGAAACCCTATGGAGAAGTTCTACTCTGCTTTAGAGTTGCTATGAAATGGAATCAACTCAATGGCAACAGGTTTGGTTTGATAGGATTAGGTTGCTTCCAATGATATGTATATCAGATAGCACTGGAATTCATTTTTTTCAATTCCAAATTTCAGAGTTTTCATTAACTCAGAGAAGTCTCTAATTCACTTCAACACAAATAACTCACTGCCATCGAATCAATTCTGACTCACAGTGACCCTACAGAACAGACTAGAACTGACCCATAGGGTTTCCAAGGCTATAAATCTTTTCAAAAGCAAACTGCCTCATCTTTCTCTCACACAGCAGCTGGTGGGTTCAAACTGTTAACCTTTTGATTAGCAGCCAAATGCTTTAACTGTGCCACGAGAGCTCCCTAAGACACAAACAGTAATGCTTTATTGATTATATTATTATACTATGTGAAATCTTAAGCACATTCTTCAGTTTCTATATTATACACTAAAACTAAAGCTATCTGGGAGAACAGAAGGGCAGTATTTGCACAGGGAGACAGCTCAGGGGGCAGGAATGCAAAGGAAAGAGGGACACAGGGAAGAGGTGACTACAGAGAGGCAGTGGGAAGAGAGCTGTTACATTGTGGGAAATTGCAGTCAATGTCATGAAACTAAATGTGTTATGAACTGCCATATGAAAAATGAATTTTCTCTGTAAACTTTCACCCAACTCACAATTAAAATTTTTCTTTTAAAAGTGAAGCTATCAATATTATAAGAAATTCTATAGAAATGTTTACTGTAATATAAATGTTTACAAAAATAATGTTTGACTACATTTACATGACTTTAAAATAGAACTGCAAAAACACTTGAAGAAATGAATACAGTGAACTCTTATTTGGGTATTAGTAGCCCTTGTGTACATTATAGTATAAAATGACTCTATTCATAATACTGACGCTGAGTTGCAAAAGTTCTGGTTGCATAGTGCCTAAGACATTTGCTAACCAGAAGGCTGGCAGTTCAAACCCACCAGCCACTCCTTGGAAGGAAGATTGAGCAATCTACTTCTGTAGAGATACTGCCTTGGATACCCAAGAAGGGGTCGCTATGAGTCAAATCAACTCGACAGCAGTGAGATTCCGGTTTATTGTTTTTTTTTTGACAGGTACTCCTGACTTACTGTGGGGTTCCCTTTTGGCAACTCAGTCTAAGTTCTGCTTTAAGTCAAATACCTCAATTTTTTTTTTTTTTAGCTTTCATTATTATTGCCTTTTATTATCAATATCTTTATAAATCTCCTCTTTGTCTATAAGGGGTTGGAAATATTACATATAAACTTACAGATATGATGACATCAGAAAATCACATGCTGCAGTGTTCTAAGTAGTACATATAACTAACTATAAGATGTACAAAACCAAAAATAATCCAAGTTCATCAAAACCTGAATACATTGTAAGTCAGGCAATTCCCAGGTTAGAAATGTCTGACTTATGTACAGTACAACCAGTAGTTACAAACCAACACCTGTAAACTCTATTAAAAGGTCAAGTTATGTACAATTGTTCATAATAATGGGTACTACTTTCTGATATGCATCAAAATATTATCATGTTAAAGATGTTTAGTGTATCGTGAATTGTTTCTTTAATGTATTTCATGCATAGAAAAGTGCACTGTACACTAAGGCAAATATCTGACAAACTGATGGGAGATAAGAATCGTACTTTATTGTTCCAACTTACATACAAATTCGACTTAAAGGTAGACTTAGGAATGGAACTCTTTAGTAATCCAGGGACTGCCTGTGGGTGTGTGTGTGTATCTGTGAGTAAATATATAGGTATACATATCAGTTTTAATGTTACAGGATTTACTGAGTGCTCAGTCTCTGAGGTATAACAAGCATTTATTTATTTTGATACTCTAATTTCCCAACAATGAGTTTAAAGTCATGATTAAGAAACCTGACAGTCTTACATTTCAATACCATATTGTTGATATGTACTGCTGTTGTTATTATGTGCTGTCGAGTTGGACCCAACTCGTAGCGACCCCTCCTTGGGTTTCTGAGGTGGTATCACTACAGAAGTAGATTGCCCAACCTTCCTTCCAAGGAGTGGCTGGTAGATTTGAACTGTCAGCCTTCTGGTTAACAGTCAAGTGCCTTAGGCACCGTGCTACCAGAGCTCCCTGGTATGTACTGTTGTCTTAAATTCACATTCCAAACATATAATAAAGAGAAAACCTACCACAAAACAGAAAAAAAAGCTTATTTTTGCTACTTGAGTTGCATTAAGTTTCCCCACAGTTTTTAGTATGGACTCTTGTTCTTTCAAAGCAGGATATGACATGCGCGACAACTTAGCTTCGAATGCATGGCTTGATGGGAGCTGTCGAATCTCCATAATATTACTAAACCTTACACGAGACTTTTTGGGAGCTTAAAAGAAAAAACAGAAAAACAATCATTAAACATTTTCCCTTGGGACCAACAAAACTCTCAAGTTATAATTTACTGATAAAAGCATATTACTTAATCTATGATCAGATACAGAGAATTAAAGAAAACCAGAGTTATATTCTTAAGGAGGCTGCTTTGTTCATTCAAAAGAGTTAACAGTAAAAATAATTTCATCTATAAAAATGTTTTAAAAGTTGTAAAATGAGATCAATATTAAAACATTTCTGCAATTGTGTTCATTAACAATTGATTGATTCAGATTTGTAATACCAAACCAAAAACCAAACTTGCTGCTGTGGAGTTGGATCCAACTCACAGTGACCCCTCCTTGGGTTTCTGAGGTGATATCACTAAGAAAGTAGATTGCCCAACCTTCCTTCCAAGGAGTGGTTGGTGAGTTTGAACCACCACCCTTCTGGTTAGCAGTCAAATGCTTTAAGCACTACGCCACCAGAGCTCCCCAGGATTGTAATAGGATTATTATTTTAGCAGTTATAGTAAAACCTATCAAGGTTTTTCTTATGCCTAGCCAATTTATGTAAGAATTACTTTCCTGGACAACCATGCAGAATATTCCTCTATAAGTCCATTCTTTGCAAGAGAATATTATGAGTAAAGACTGTGCCTTACGTTGAAGCTGGCATTCTTTACTAAATTCACAAAGCCAGCAACACTCCTGGAATTTGCTATCAGAATGTTTTGGGGCTACGATTGAACAAAATATAGTTTATGTAAAAACAAAAGCAAAGAAACTCTAGATATTTCCAGTATTAGAACATTATTTCCTGTTGAATTAATTTTTTTCAAATGACTATACACAACCTAGTCAAGTTTTCAGAAGGCTGCAAGCCCATTGAACAGCATGTGGAAGTTGGGTTCCAAAGTTAAGAAATGCTAGGTGAACCTAATCAATGCACAAAATCTCTGAATTTGGGGCAACCTTGAATGAAAATAAATCTCTAAGTTATGAAATCCTAAATTTTGCTTACTTTTTTCAGTGTCAATATTTGTGCTGCCAGGTTTTTCACTTGGAAAATCATGAAATTTCACAGGAACATACAGAGGTTCACTCTGGAATGTAACATACACAAACATAAATAGCAATTAAAATAGCTAGTGTATCACTAAAATTTAAATGGATGGTAGACAAGGATATCAACCAAAAAAACAAGCCTGCCACTATGTTTGTTGTTGTTGTTGTTATATGCCGTCGAGTCGCCCCAACTCATAGCGACCCCTCCCTTGGGTTTCCTAGGCAGTATCACTACGGAAGTAGGATTGCCCAGCCTTCCTTCCGAGGAGTGGCTGGTGGGTTTGAACCACCAGCCGTCTGGTTAGCAGTCAAGTGCCTTAGGCACTATGCTACCAGAGCTCCTGCCACTATGTTTTACAAGCATAAATTTCCGAAAATGCATTTTCAAGGCTTAAAAAGGAAATCCAACTGATCTTCACAGATACAATGACAGAAAAGAATCTGTTTAAAGGTTAAGGTTAATAATTTAATAGAACAGAATTATCAAAGTTATATTTAAATGTCATAAAAACAGACCTCTCAGCTAACTGATTTCTCATTTCTTTTCATTCATTCTTTTAAAAAATGCATATTGAGTCCTTACTCTGTCAAGCAATGATCTTTCTGGGACTTAGGGATAAGAATAAGACAAACTCTCTGTCCCCAGTGACTGTATACTACAAAGTAGGATGTAGACAATGAACAGATAATAGATGAGAAGTATTTATATTTGTCTAATTATTTCCTCTCATTACTTAAGATTCAACTAAAAAAAAAAAGCTACCACTTACCAGCTTACCAGCTTACCAGCTTACTACTTACCAGCTCAAGTACCAGGTAAAAACTACTAAGGAGTCAAGCATATAATATATTCTTTATTAGTCCTTACAACAACCTTATTTATCAAGTAGCTATTTTAAAATAATTTTCCTAGAAACTGAGATATAAAATAACCAAGGGGTAGGCACAAGAATTAAAGCCAGGTTTATGTGACCTTGCTCTAAAGCTGTCTATTTTTTGGTGTGTCTAAATTCATCAATTGCTTTTACAAGTGTTATTCAGATGATCTATATTTAAGACACAACTTTTCAACTAGGCTGTTTCTTAAATTACAGAAAATGCTTTTTATTTCTTTGATTTCTCCTGGCATAGAACTCTGCCAATGAAAAAAACTCAGTAAATTAAGAGATTATAGAATTTGGCCCTAGAAAAGTCTGAATCCTTCACTGTAGTATTTGGTCTAGAGCAATCTGACATTTATAATAGCAAGAGTTAGCAGAAGAATAGTTAAGAAGTATAATATCAACTATGCCTTCTTCATTAATAGAGACAATTGCTATTATACTATCTGTCAACCATTAAGATCCCAGAGAAAAGAAACAGCATTTTTATAAGCTTCATAAACTCTTCACCATACCTAGTAACTTATCCTGTATGCCACTGCAGTTCTAAAATAACCAGATAAATAAACAAAAGACTGGACTGTCAACAAGGTTTCCAAGCCAGTGTTTCCAAGATTGATATTAAACTTTAAAGTAAATTTAAAATTTTTCTCAGATAGAATGCCAAATTTGGAAAGAAATATTACCAAAAATACATTCTAAAAATGTGTCCTAGGAATAGTCTAAAAAGAACAGATTTCACATACTATCTGTGAGGGTTAATGTTATGTGTCAACTTGGCTAGGCAATAGTTTAGCAGACACTATGCAATCACCCTCCATTTTGTGATCTGCTGTTAGCAGCCAATAGGATGAAAGGGGAGTTTATTTGGGCATGTGGCCTGCCTCTAGTTTATAAATAGCTATTCTGGCAAAGCTCTTTTTCAGTCCTGCACTCTTTTGGTCTGACCCCTCAATCTTGGGATGTAATCCTGCAGAAGATTCTTGCCTACCATCTGACCTGCAAATTTTGGATTAGGCAACCCCCCGCAACCCCACAAGCCAGCGGAGGCCTCCAGTCTGCTGCCAGACTGACAGATTTTGGGTTTGTCAGCCCCTGCAACCACATGAGCCAGTAGAGGTCTTCAGCGTGTCAGTTGATCCCTGGATTTGGGATTTATCAGCCTCCACAAATGTGTGATCTATTTCCTTGAAGTAAATTTATCCATATATCTATTTATATACCCTTTACTGGATTTGCTCCTCTAGAGAATCCAAACTGAGACATTCAATTTCCAACTAGATTATAAATCCTTAAAATAAGTGAATATGTTAATTATTTCATTTGCTAATTACCAGGCAATAAAAGATGAATGTTTTCACATTAGACCATAAATTGTATTTCTCTGGTAGCATAGTGCCTAAGGCACTTGGACTGCTAACCAGAAGGCTGGTGGTTCAAACCCACCAGCCACTCCTTGGAAGGAAGGATGGGCAATCTACTTCCATAGTGATACTGCCTCGGAAACCCAAGGAGGGGTCGCTATGAGTTGGGTCTGACTCGAGGACACATAACAATACAACACAAAAGAATAAGTCCCTAGCACATATTACATGCTCTAAAAATACTTATGGAATGAATGAACAATCTGCTTATATATTCTCATTGCCAAGCAAAAATAAATTTGTTTCTAAATGACAGTAAAAAAAGAATATGAAGTAACAAGTTGTAAGAAACAAAGTATTATCCTTCATTATTTCCATTACTTAATTATCTTCCCATAGCCCCCACCACCCACTGGTGAATAGTTTACCTCTAGGTCTTAGGCATTCCTAAGGAAATAAAGTACCAAGTTACATGGAGGACTACCAATATTAAGATACAGCTGTGGTGCCATCAAAGCTTTTTCAATATTCCATGGCATAATTCTACCAGCTCTGTTCCTAATTTTTTTTTTACCTACTCCATTACTTATGAGAAAAGAAACACTTACCAAAGAACTATTCATAGTTGTATCTGTTGTGCAAGCAGCAAAGTAACCTTCAGCATCTGTAAACTAAATATAGAAAACAGGCAATAAAATTCAGTTAAACTCATTTTATAAGGCGCTACTAGTCAGGAGCAGATAAAAGGAGTAGAACCAAAAATCTAGACTAGACCTGTAAGACTATAAAATCAAAAAATTAAGACTACTGGTAGGATGGTGGAATAGGCAGACAAGCTACACAGACCCTCTTCAACAAAGAAAAGAGAAACCACAGATACAGATACAGAAGATAATCCTGGAGCCCTGAGCTTTGAAAAGAAGAATACAGAAGTGGATTTAACACCATCTACCAGAAGAACCTGCATGAAAACAGTGAATAAAGAGACAGACAGAGCTGTCTTCCAAGGAGACAAACAGCTATCCTGATGACACAGACAGTCTGAATATTTCCAAGTGGTGTTAGGACCTGAGAATTTACCTAAAATTCGGCCATGCATGCCAAGGACCACATGGAAGGCAGCAATGGTGGCTGATGACTAAAAAGGGAAACAGCAAAGGAGGAGACAAACTGAGCTATGGACTTTTGGCTGCCTAGAGGGTGCAAACATTTTGAATGTTTACAAGCAGCAGCCATTTTTGGATATTTAAAGTGATGGCATTCAAGTTCAGATTTCAGGGACCTAATAGGCTCCACTTGCTGAGGACAGCATGGACATACCAGAGGCTGATGACTGGAAAGGTGTGATATTCCACTTCTTACTCTTATACCCCACACCCTCTTGATGAACAAAGGTACAGCCATTGCTCACCTCCAACCCACCTTCTGGGCTGGCAGGAATTCCATCTCAGTCTCAGTGCTCTGAGAGAGCCTGGGTGCCCTGCTTCACCCCCACCCCCTACCAGATTTGTTTACTGGTCTGTTTGCTTGTTTTAAAATTTATCTTTCTTTTCCCCTTTGCTTTTATTTTTATTCTTCTTTTACCCTTGCCAGGTTCTAATTTTGGGCTTTTTCTCTCTTGCCTTTTCCTGGTTACCATTTATATCATTCTTGTGATTGTTCCAATCCCTTGTTTTTCTTATTGCATTTTTCCCATATTTTTCCTCATTATTCTCTTACCCTAGCTCTTTTCTCTTATTGCCCCCTCCTCAGATATTGTGGGGTTTTTTTGTTTGCTTTTTCTATTTATATTTTTTATGTCTTTTTATAGTATTTATCTACTACATCTCATTTACTGCCTTTCCTCTTTTTTCCCCTCTTTTTGGTGATTGTTCCTGTGTGTTTATGTGGTGTTTCTTGTCTTTGTTTTTATTTTTTTTTGGTGTTTTTTTCATTGTTGTTTTTGTTTAACTGAGTGTGGGACAGCAACCATGCCCACATGACCCAACCATACCCACACCTCTTGCATCCCTACCAACTAAGGGCCACCACTTCCTTCTGTACCAACTGGCCAACAATAACACGACAGCCAATACAAGTCTGATTCACCCTTAACTTCTCTTCCAAACAGCTAACAGAGATCTGTGCATTGATTCTCATTCTTTATCACACTCACCAGGAGACAGGTGGTGAATGCATTAATTGCTGCCAACTAGTGAACAGAGGAGCAAAGTACCCTGCTTACTTAGATATACATCCAAATAAAAGAAAGAAAATGAAAATCTTGAGTGAATCACTCCAAAATACAATTACTAATTAAATACAAATACAAAAACATCACAATGTCTCGGAGAAAACAGACCATCACAGTCCACACAAAGAAGCATGATAAAGCATTAGAAACAAGGGACCAGAAACAGTCCCACAACACAGCCCAGAAGAAGCAGCTGATCGCTGGAACTCCCTGATAAGGAACTTTAAAGAATTTTATTTAGGTACCTTCAATGGATTGAGAAACAGATCAAGGAAAACACTGAAAAAATTAAGGAAAACACAGACAAAACCCTAGAATAACTTTGGAAGGCAAAACAAGAAAAAAAAAATGACAAAATAAATGGAAAATTAGAAATGATACAAAATCTATAGATAGAAATCCAGAAGATTATAACACTAAATTTTTAGAAACAGAAAACACATTGAACGGACAAAGGAGTAGGACTAAATCAATGGAATACAGAATTAGTGAGATTGAAGAAAAATACCTCAATACTTCTTTAGAAAGGGGTCAATCAGAAAAAATCAAAACAAAATGAAGAAAGCCTAAGATTCATGTGGCATACCATCAAAAGGAGAAAACTACACGTAATTGGAATTCCAGAACAAGAAGAGACAAATAAAACCACAGAGAAAATTGTCAAAAGATTTGTTGGAAGAGAATTTCCCTGATATAGTGAAAGATGAGAATAAGTCTATTCAAGAAGTCCAATGAACCCCAAACAGGATAGACCCCAAAAGAAAATGGCCAAAACATTTCATCGTCAAACTCACCAAAACCAGAGACAAAGAAAGAATGCTGAAAGCAGCACAAAAAAAGTGAAAAGTTACCTATAAAGGGCAACCAATAAGACTAAGCTCTGATTTCTCAGAAGAAACCATGCAGGCAAGAAGGCAATAGGATAGTATATATAAAACCCTGAAAGAAAAAAAATTGCTAACTCCTAAAGGTGCAAGAAGGCATCATCTTCTAACCTCCCCTGACTATACAAGAGGATGGTGACAGAATCATCAGCAGCAGCCCAATGCCTGCTCCTGTGAGGCCAGACATGACACCACCCTCTAGCTCTCTTACCATCCTTAACACCAACCACACCTCCTGCAGCACTCACCACCTCTCTGCTGAGTTTCATAATTTTCTGCAGTCACCACACAGAACTCATAGATTATGGGGTTAGGGAAGCAACAGGCTACAATTCAAGTTCAGGAATGCACTCAGTCTCTCTCAGCCAGCTGTCTTTCTAAACCAGCAGTCTCTCTCAGCAGTGCATCTCTCTCTCAGTAGCATGTCTCTCTCTCTCAGCAGTGCATCTCTCTCAGCTGCACATCTCTCAGCCACACATCTCTCTCTAAGCAGCATGTCTATCTCAGCTGGCAGTGAGAGAGAATCCTTCTGCCTCTAGGAGGGCTCATTTTGAGCCTGGTAAAGTGGCAAAATCAACCAATCCCAACATGAGAGTTCTACATACCTGAGAGAGAGAGTGAACTTTCCCATAAGATTACTTCATGCTGCCTCAGGTGAATGGCATTAATAAGCAGCCAGTCAGTTGCTCATGGCAAAATGGAGATACAAAGAATATGGTTAGAAAACCCATACCCATGTAATTCACTACACTATACCAACCAAGAATAATATACCCAGCAAAACTGCCCCACAAATGTGATGGTGAAATTAGGACATTTCCAGAGTAGGAGAAATCAAAGGAATTTCTTAAAACCAGACCAACCTCACAAGAGATGCTAAAAGGAGTCCTTTGGACAGAGAACCAACAACAGCAAACAACAACCACCCATTAACAAACATGACATAATCCAAAAACCAAGCCAGTTATGGAAGTATCCAAAGTAAAATAAGCTTACAAGATTGGAAACAGGAAACCCGCCACATCAATTGGTAAACGAGGACAACTACAAAACAAAAAGAGGGAAAAAACTGTGTAGTTACAGAACTTCTAAATTGAAGAAGTCAAGACAACTGCAAGATACAACAGACTGCTCTAAACTTGGGAAGAAAACTAAAAATCACAGGGTAACCTCAAAGAAGAATGATAGACCTTCACATTACAATAAAAAAAAAAAAAAAAAAAAAGAGGAAAAGCACAAATATTGGCAAATACTAAAACAACAGCAATGAAGGAAATGATAATATGATTCATAAACAAAATGAGCTCAGCAAAGAAAATTATATGGAACAAAGAAAACAGCAACACCAGGAAGAAACACATAACAAAATGACAGCAAAAAAATCATACTTGTTGATAATTACACTGATGTCAATGGATTAAATGCACCACAAGAGAGGGAGAATTGCAGACTGCACATGCAAACATAACCCACCAATATGCTGTTACAAGAGACACACATTAGAGAGAAAGATACAAATAGAATAAAAATCAAAGGTTGGAAAAAGATAGATGAAGCAAATGGCAACCATAAAAGAGCAGGAGTGGCAATGTTAGTTTCTGATAAAATTGACTCTAAGACAAAAAACACCATAAGAGACAAGGAAGAACACTATATAATGATTACAGGATCGATTCAACAAGAAGATATAATAATAACAAATAGCTATGTACCCAAGGAAAGAGCTCCAAAATACATAAATCAGACTTTAACAGAATTGAAAAGACAAATAGATGACTCTGCAGTCATAGCAAGAGACTTCAACACACCACTTTCAAAGATAGAACTACTGGAAAGAAACTCAACAAAGACACAGAAGAACTAAACAATACAATCCACGACCTTGACCTTATAAACATCTACAGAGCATTTCACCCAACAACAGCACAATGTATATTCTTTTCCAGTGCATATGGAATATTCTCCAGGATAGACCATATGTTAGGCCACAAAGCAAGCCTTAATAAATTTAAAAACATTGGAATAGTGAAAAGTATCTTCTTAGATCACAATGATATAAAATTAGAAATCAACAATAGGAAGATCAACAGAAAAAGAGCAAACACATGGAAACTGAATTAACACCTTCCATAAAAGTGACTGGCTAATAGAAGAAATTTAAAAAAATAAAAAAATTCCTTCAACAAATTAGAATGAAGACACAATGTACCAACAGTCACCAGAAGAAAAGAAATAATAAAGATTTAAGCAGAAATAAATGAAACAAGAAATAGAAAGATAATAAAAAAAAATCAGTAAGACTAGAAGTTAGTTTTTTGAAACCATTAATAAAATGGACAAACCACTGGCAAATTTAACAAAGGAAAAGAGAGAGAGAATACAAATAACACAAATAAGAAACAAATTGGACAGCATCACCACAGAACCAACTGAAATAAAAATATCAAGATACTACAAAGAACTGGACTCCAACAAATTTGAAAATCTAGAAGAAATCAACAGATTTCTAGAAACATACTACTTACCTAAATTAACAGACTGAGGTCAAAAATTT